TGCCATATGATTACAAAAAACTATCCAAAAATTTAAAGAACAGCTCAACTGCTATCTATGTATATGCGATCGGTTAGGGGCCCAGGATAACCTGGAGTGTAGAGCCCAATAATTTTCTTCTATCTTTCTTGAGCTTCTCTTTTCATGATTAATATCATCATAGATTATGTCCGATTGGCAGTTCTGGTCCCTCGTCTGTCTAGGTTAAGTGCAGGCTAAAGGAAAAATAGGTAGGTATGCATTTTTTATTTGAATCCAATAGGTACCTGTCTAATTATTTCCTTCTAGCCTCGATTCTGGTTGAAACTTAAAAACCAATTTTCAACCTAACGCTTTTTACCGGCTTTTGTCTTAGTCCTTTTAATAATTTGCTTACGTAGATAAATCAAGTCTGCCTACGTCATCTGGTAGGCTGCTAATGCCACTGGAATACTAGAATAATTATAATAATAATTAATAACTAGGTTTTTTTTTCTGGTGCGCACTTACGAACATGGGAAGTTAGTAACAATTTGAATCGGTTTATTTATTGTTTCTTTTCCAAGACAGCGTATTATTTTTATGACTTAACAAAACGAACGTTCAACTTCTAATTTTTTTCATAGGCAAACGAATTGGTGCAAATAAATACAAAAAATGCCATTAACCAGGATCTATCATGTTAGCAATGTATTGCTCATTAGCAGTATAGGCTATTAAAATATATCCTATTATGAAATTTGATAATAAAATATGCAGTTGGACAATATATTACGTAACAAATAAAGTTCGTTAATAATAATTCATTTAGATACATAATTATAGTACAATAGTGTAGTTCCTCATTCCTTATTTAAAAAAAAGCAATATTATGAAATAGATTTTAAATGTCTCAGCAATTTGTTGAGGTGATAATCTGATGCTCAAGCTACCTGATGTGTACGATTTTTGTCGAAAAATTTCAATTTTTTTTTATAATTGTTACAATTATTTTATTCGTCATTGTTGTGATATGTAATTCTGTTTGCCGATATGCCCATACTCATTTAATGGTTCAGCTTTTTAATTCTAGAATTCAGTCAAGTCGACGAAGTCAATGATCTAGTCAAGAAAAAAAAAAGAAAGCAAGATCATTAAGTGGGCTTTAATTGGAATGTAAAATTATGCATTTGCGCAATTTTGATGAGGTTAATGGACTACTAACAAGACTAATAATTTTGTGTTAATTGCGTTCGAAAACGACTAGTAATGAGCTTTTTTAATTCGATTTTGCTTTTAGGAGGCATCTTTCTGATAATCAGAAAAAGATATTTAAGTCAAATAAAACCAGACAAAAAAGTAAACATTGCATGAAAGAAACTTAATTAAATCTTAAAACACATCAAAAAATATATGTTTGAAATGAAAGTAATTTTCTTGGAATTTTAACGATATTGCTTAAAAAGCTCTTGAAAGGAGACTTTATATAGTCCAGGAGGCAGTGAAATTTTTTAGCATTTATTTTCCTAGTTGGTGTATATTAAATACTATTTTCTCTTGGTGATACAAAACAAGCATTTTTGAGTCTGGCTAAAATTTTCGGATGGGTTGCCAAGATCAATGAGAAATAAGTGTACACTTATTTTCCCAGTCATAAATATTTCACATTTACTACAATAGAACATTAAGTATATGAAAATAGCAATTTGGCTTATCTCAGATAGTGGAAAGTCAGTCTGGCTGAACATTTTCGGATCCTTAGTTTTTCACTTGCCAGACGTATGATCCATACACCATACTCACCCATTAGCCGGAATATTTTTCTACGTAACTTCACCATATCTCTCATTAGTAGAGCTATTTTTATCACTGGAAAAAAGAGCCGTGCATTCGTAAGCTCTGACGCATTTTGCGCCTCAACCCATCGGAAAATCCCCCTTAAAAATATAATAATTTTGCTTAGAATTACTAACCCTACAATTCTATCCATGTTTTCTGACTGGGAAAATAAGTACCGAAAATCGTCAGTGCCTCCTAGACTATTAACAAATTGAAAAATATTTGGGTTCAATACTACTTTTTTTTTTTTTTCTTGGAATATTCCCAAAAGAGTTCAATCATTCCTAATGCCATAGGCAATGACTTTTAGATATTCAAATGTAAATACGTTTATCACGTTTTATCAATATTTTCATCAAGTAAAAGGCGCTCCAATTAGAGTGGGTAGATTAACATGTCAGGCACAGTTCAGTGGCAGTGTATGAACATCAAAGATGAAGAAACTTGTTAACTTTTTTTTAACGTACTTTAATTACCACGGTGAAAGCTCATAAGAAATGTAACAAAGGGGATATTAATTGAAAATATTTCATTGAAACAGCTGTTATACAATTTATTTTTGGTTTTCTTAATTCGAGGCAAAATCATGGGTAAGTGCTATGCTATTTTTTGTGAAAATTTAAAATCCTATAACACCACAACTTCTAATATTTTTATTATTATTATCCAAAACCACAGCAAATAATAGTCAACTAATATTTTGTAGGTTTTATTTTTTTTAAGAACATTGCTCTATAAACCATATACGTCATATAGATAGTTGTCCTTTTACACAATCCTAACTATGAGCGAGCCTCACTTTAAATTCTTGGAGATCTGTTGAATGATTATACAATGTTATTTCGTGGACATTTATAATGTATCATAAATAACTGTAAAGAGACCAATCTCTTCTAGCTACAGAGAAAAAAAAATGTATAAACGGTGTCTCAACAAGAACTTGAATTTTCAATCGCACCATTTTTGTCTGTCAAGCGTCAAGTTAGCCATATTGGGCATGCGATCGGTGAAAACATTAGCTTTGTTCCAACCCAGCAGAAAACCGTAATATTACCGCCAGGATTCTGCGCAAAACCCAAAATTTTTGCGTAGAAACTGAAATTCGTATACAGAGTGGTTCCGAAACCGTTCTGGAACGGTTTTTTTACGGGTTGGAACAAATCTATTGACATTTAATAAAATGCCGCGTTACACTCTTGAGGAACGTTTATTAATTGTGAAAACTCATTACAGAAATGGAGAAAATTTTACAGTGACAAAGCGCAGATTACGTGAACATTTCGGCGTACATAATCGTCTGTCGCTGTTGAAAATATGATCAACAATTTTGAGCGGATATTTGCACTGAAAGACGAGACAAGTGTTAGGAGTCGTCGCCTTGGAAGGTCGAGAACATCACCGCAGGGAGAACTGAGAGCCAGTGTTACCAAACATCCAAGCACTTTCATCCGGCATCGCGGCCAGGCGTTAAACATCAGTGGCAGTACGCTGCAGCCTTACGAATTTCGAAAAAGGATTCGCATCCTCATGCCTTCAAAATACATTTGATACAAGCGCTGAAGCCAGCCGATCTTAGACAGCGCAGAAAATTTGCCAACTGGATATTGGAACAACACGAAGTTTACGATGCATTCCAGAACAAAATAATTTTTAGAGATGAGGCGCACTTGCCTTCAGCTCTTGTGTCATCTGTATTCTGTAGGCAAGAAGATGCAAATCCTTTTCCAAAATGCTCTCACGGCGGCTGTTCTCGGCAAACCGAGACGACGCCTAAAGTGCAATTCGTACTACACGTACCGGCACCGTCACGTCACCGTAACGTCAGCGACAGGTCAAATAATCTTACATTGAAAGCAATGGTCGTATTCACACTACACCTTCACGGCACGGTCACCCAAACGTTCGGGCCGTCAAGATTTCTCGAAGAGAATATTTGACGTTTCATTAACGATACAGTGACGTGACGGTGTCGGTACGTACAGTAAGAATAATTGCGCTCAACACTTGTCTCGTCTTCCAGTCCAAAAAATGTCCAACTTTTCAACAGTAGGCCGCGACGAACGATTATGTACGCCGAAATGTTCACGTAATCTGCGCTTTGTCACTGTGATGTTTTGTCCATTTCTGTAATGAGTTTTTACAATTAACATACGTTCTTCAAGAGTCAAGAGTGTAACGCGGCATTTTAGTAAATATCAATGTTTTCACCGAAAATAATATGCCCAATATGACCGACTTGACGCTTGCAGCTTGGTGCACGATTTAAAATTCAAATTCTTGGTGACATTGATTATGCTAAAAAAAACTCTAAACATAAAGTCTTGACGTTGGGAGTATGTTCGCGAGATGTTAATATTTTACTTTATAGAATAAATTATCCGAACAGTCTGCTATCACAATTAATAATTTTGACACCTTTAATGTTCTGCTAATAAAAAAAAAAAACTTAAGAACGAGACCATTTAAGTCATTATTAAAATTAAGGAAAATTTTCGACTTGAAAGAATTTTGTGACGTCATTAGCGCCTTGGTATAACTTAATTTCGAATTAATTGGAGGTACCTACCTATATTATATCTAGATTTTGGCAATGTAAAATTAGGTTTTTCACGCCATATTTTATAAGATTTGGTAATGAAAATGCAAAAAATATGTAGTGCAGCCTCGAAAAATGTCACTCAAAAGCAAAACGTAGGTTTTTCATCTGCCGAAAAATAGTTTTAGCAAGATTTTTAGTTTAGCTGAGCTTTGATATTAGATGTAAATTTTATATTTTCAACCACCATAAAGCATGTTATTATCACACTTGTAACACGAAACAAACTTTATAGAGAAAATTTGGATCTGGAGCATTCTCACGATTTGCCACAGCAAAAAATGTCGAAACACGACTATTCAATGTAAAATATGTTTCTTTCTTTCGTCAGCGAATCTCCGGAACATGAAAATCGACTAAGTATGTATAACATGGGCCTGAGAAAACAACATATTATGACATACTCCATAGCTGCAAATTTCCAAAAATGAAATACGCTTGTCCTATATATTTTTTTATCCGGCATTCAAGAAAATTTTACCAAGTATTTTGCTTAAGTGTACTATTAAACATATTTTCTTGTCTTTTTCAGGTAAGCGCTACCTCTAAAGTCAAACAGATTACCATCAAAAATTGTAAGTATGTAGTATGCTATCCTTTCTTTCAGGCAAACCGTTCTTTCAAAAAGAACATTCTAATATTTACTATGAATTTGATCGGGCTTCAGCTATCTTCAAAGGCAACCGCAATTTTCCACAAGAGGAAATTGCAAAAGCAAATTTGGTTAAAATACACATACTTATATGAAAAATAAAATATTATAAAGAAATTGCGAGATACAATTTTTGTCGTATATATTTTACTCAAAGTAAGATTATCCTAGAATTGACTGATCAATTTGCTTTTTATTTATAGTTAACCTAGATTGCATAAATTCAGTTTTACTTTTAAAAAATGAGGGTTGAAAATAAGAGATTTCCAATATTTTAAACAAACTTTTTCTGGGATAAAATTTGCATAAAATATTCAAATTAAATTAACTTGAGAATATTTAATTCCGCTTGAATGAGTTTAATTAAAATAAAAACGGATAATTTGCCACGGTTTTCGCTCAAAGGGAAAAATTGGGAAATTGAAATTGCTGGCCTGAAAGTCTGGTGCGAGCAAACTATGCCCTAGCTTAAAATAAAATAATTCCGATGGTAGGTGTAGGGTAGGGACGGGTTAATTCAGGGCGCCACTGATTTGGGGACAATAATGTCAGATTCTCCAGGTTTTTGTCTGGTTCTCAGAAATCTCGCAAATCTAAATCAATAACAAAAAAAAAATGAAATATGAAAATATAGGTAATATAGCGTGTTCATTTCAAAACTTATCACCCCCTTCTCATTTAAGATTTTTTATGGGTCTGAGGGCTGGGAGGTTAAAAGGGAGGAGGTTAATTTTGCATAAAAACTCATCCTCGTTCAAATTATAGTGGACGTGTTTCAGGGATTTTTTCGAAAATTTTCCAACTCCGAGATAATAGGGGTGGTAAGTTCTAAAATGAACACCCTGTATAATAATAAAACAGTCAAAATGGAATCGCCTAATTAGGTTACCTCTAGGCTATCCTCAAGCATTTCTCACATTGTAATGTCACCGATATGCTTCATCAGTGGCAATTATTAGGTCTGTTCCAACCAATAACATAGTAGCACAGGTAGACATTACAGTAAACTAAATTTTGTGTCGCCAAAGTCTAGGAGAGCGATCCACCTCCGGTGAATCCCCTCCAATTAAGTTGCCAAATTGTTACGGATTGATATTTTATCCTGTTATGACTTTGCTTCAAAAAAATGGAGTTTCAAGACTAAAAACGATTACTGGCAACATCGGTTTTGCGAAACAGCCGAAACACGCGCTGTAATCGATTGGCATGTCAACGCGCCCATCGAACATATATTATATGAGTTAGAGGCAGATAGATAAACAAACGAGTTGCACCCATGCGCATTTCTCCATTATTTTGGTCAACTGAATGACGGGTTCAGAGAGGAGGGCGGTTCTTGTTTACACCTCTGATGCATCCCCACCATAACCATTCTCGAGCACCTCACCTCTCCTGGCCCATGGAGGGTCTTTTCATCACAACAAACATCAGTTTATGAATGAGATGCGGTGTCTATCTCTGTTAAGATGTAATTGGTCACCCATGAAACCATTCCGTATAGGTACGAATTTTGGATTCTACGCAGAATCGTGACGGTACAATGTACAATTTCCTACTGCGTTGCAACAAAGCTGTTGATTGCTTTTCAAAATAAAGTTTCACAGTTTGGATTTTTTGCCCGCAAAAGTGGCCTCTCCATGATCAAACTTTCAAGCGTCTAGTGCTTAAATCTGAACTGGGAAGAAAAAACTTAGCTCGTTAAGGGTTTGTAAACCGTCACCTCAAAATGTCAATTTTGGAGCGCTGTCTACATTACTTTGTTGAAATTGTTTACCTATTGTTGACATATTTTACAGTTTTTTTACCTGTAAATGTAGACAAATGGTAGTTTACGTGTAAAAGAACAACACTGATTTTTAGTGACTCAACCAAATCCACCCCATAAAAATTTGCAACTTTTCGTCAAATGATTGCTTCGTAATGCCCATTGTTATCGATGTTCCTTATAGTGATTTAAGCACCATATTTGGGGGGGGGGGGGGGGGGTAGCAAACAAATTTTGTTATTTGGCGCAATGCTCCACATCCGAAATAGTATTCAAAACCTAACGGGCTTGAGCATTCATTATTATAATTTTAGATATTAGATATCCCACGTAAATTCTGACCACATTTGGCCGACGGCTTGATTTGGACTTGTGAATTTTCTAATGCCGAAGACAAAAGTGACGGTTGCATACCAGTTGATTGATCTCCTTAACATGATTGGGTTCAAAAATATTTTGCAAATTCCAATAATAAATAATATTTGCGGTGCTAATAGATTAGATATTATAACAAATTAGCCAGAACTAAAACTTAAAAAAATATGTCTGGACAATTATTTATTTTAAAGAAATTGAAGATAACGGATTTGATTTGACGTCACTAAAAGATGGAAAGACATCGAATAATAACATCTAAAAAACAAAAACAAAATTTATCCAATAGAGTGCTGATAAGAGGCGAATCAAAAAATAAAACATAAAATTAGAGGATGTTCAAAAATCTCTATACAGGTTTTATTCTGTATAAAAAAATGCAAATGTAAAAATTTATTCAATGATATATCAAATTGTTGAAAAACCCTTCAAATGAGACCTCCTATGTACCTATACTTGAGATTTTTTTAGGGATGTTCAAGGAATTTTCATCTAGTCTGGCCAAATGCCTGGCGTCTGTAAAACTGCTGACGAATTCCAAGTTCAGTATTCCCGTCTACACGAATATCTAAGCTCATGAAGTACAGCAATTGGAACTTAGAGGAATTCCTCCTCTTGTATTTTAGCGGCGAGTCTTCTAATTCGTCGAATATTTTTTGGCGCAGTTCTTCTGGAATCACAGATACTGGTATATCGATCGGCAATCCTCTTATTGTCACTTCTTAACTTGAAACTTTCGCCGATAAAAATCTTGTCATATATAGTCACACACACTAGCTGCGTTCGGTGATAATGTCTGATCAATTTTTTCGATCTGACTCGTTCGTTTATTGAACTTAGATGTAGGAGAGGCAAATTTAAACCGTTCGTTAATTACGCTCAGACCAGTCGGACCTAAATCTTTGCTCGGAGTATTTAGACCGACGACGAGAGAGATCAATCTGCGAATTTGAGGTTATGTCGTAGTCTCGAAGTGTCAACGTAGTGTTTATTTTTTGTACAAAAATTTAATTTTCAGTACTCAACACTCTCGCCACCAGCAATTTCGTCGTTATGTAGGAATGTCGTCAGGTCAATTTTTTTTTTAAATAATGAATTCAATGGGATTTATATATGCGTTTTTGATATATGAGAATCATATTTTTTTGGTGCACATTATTGTTACACCGGCGCAGGAGAACGACATCAGCCCTCTAGGCTAAAGTATATTATTTTTTTAGATTTGCTCAAAACACCTTCAGTCTTTTTTTTTAATTTCTGAGTTGTACTTTTTGATTTTTACAAAGCAAATAAAGTGAAATATTTATCATATGTGTTGTTTATTATACGTTATTTTGACTATTCATCTTTGGGCAATTGTTGCATCTCTTTAGGTAAGCCACAGGCCAAAGTTGTAGTAGTGTATAGGCCTAGGCCAGTACAGTATATCTACAATATGATACCAATGAAACGTGTAACATTAAAGGTCAATTCTCACTCAGCTCGGCGACGCGACCCGACGCTACGATGCAAATTGTCGCTAGATAAGGATTTAATTGGTTTAAATTTTGGTTTAAGTTTAAATGAATAAATTCCCACCTACACTGCACTACACTTTACGACGCGTCGCATTTAAATCAATGAAATATTTATCTAGCAACAATTTGCAGCGCGGCGTCGTGTCGCATCGCCGAGCTGAGTGAAGCGTAAGTGAGAATTGACCTTTAAGATACACGATAATTCCAAACAAAATAAGTTCGGTGTACATTTTTATTACACCTCGGTTATAACAGAAGTTTACAATAATGTTAAAGCCTGTTTACACTACATGCAATCTCGTGCAATGCAATAATTTCTTGCCTGAATGCATGCGCACTTTGTTCTTTTTCGATCAGCTGAAGCAATTTCATTGCATTGCATGGAATTAGCACCTGCGCCAATTTTATTGCACGTTGTATTCCATAAAAGTTGAATATTCACCGTAACCTCAAATTTGTGTTTACTTCCTCAACCTGCGGGTTGGTTTAGTTTGGCTTGTTGCAAAAATTAATAATAATTTGCAAAATCTAAAAATGTAAACACAATATAAAAATATAAATCAAATCAGCTGTTATATGTCATTTTCTCTAGGTTGGCACAACCCGCTATACAAATGACTGCATGCAATTCAATTGCATCCTATGTAAACGGTAGAAGCCATAAGATTGCATAATTATGCAGCCGATTGCATGCCATTTTTAAAATTGCATTGCATCTAGGTAAACACCGTTTTACACTGGCGGCGAGAGTGTTAATCAGGCGCTTCTTCTCTGCAATAATTCCCGTTTCTAACTTCATTGCCTGATATCCAATTCAATCTTCTACATTTTTGCTCCTCACATCATGAAGCTTTTGTAAAAAATCTCTAGTAATGAGCGAGACTGGTCTTGGTCTTGCGGTCTTGGTCTTGGTCTTGGTCTTGCAGAAAAAAGCAAGACCAAGACCAAAACCTCTATATAAAAGAATAGCTGCATTAGATTATGAAGAAAATAGATAAATTAGAAATAAGGATGTTTCAATATTACGGGGACAAACCTAAACAAGTGATCTGTTAACTTGCAATGTTTTTTTTTGAACATTTCGCACTAGAAAAAAATGGCTGATTCACTTGTTAAAATTTGCTGCTGTGGTGGAGGTGCCTACTTGATATTGAAAAACCAAAATTGAAACTGGAATACACTGTCTCTTTCTTTAAACCATTACTTAGTACTCTGAAACCTATATTTTTTAAAATCTTCTTCGTAAAAATTGCGTCCAGTAAAAATCTACCAAATAAAGACTTGCAAGAGTCTTGGTGCAAGACCAAGACCAAGACCAAGAATGGCCCTGCGAGACCATCACCAACACTACTTATTAGACTGCAAGATCAAGACCACATATGCAAGACCAAGACCCAGACTAACCCGGTCTTGGTTTTGGTCTTCCTCATCACTAAAA